AATCGAAATATCTCAAAAACGGCTAACTAAAGGGTGTCCCAAAATTAACGCAAGATTTGAATTAAATAGAAAATGCCATTTTTAGTCTTTTAATAGTTATATTTTTATTGACTCATAAAGTACATAGGATAGGGTTATGTATGGAATAACACATCGGACAAATGGCCTCCACGGCTTTGCATGCACATGCGCACTCTTTTGTCGAAATTTTCCATGACCCTTCTGCATAAATGTGGCTGAATTTCGTTGATGCAGCGTTGAATCTCCTCCTTTAATGCATGGGTGGTTGTGGGCTTGTTGACATAGACTTGTGATTTCAAATAATCCCATAAAAAGAAGTCTAATGGTGTTAAATCACACGATCTAGGAGGCCAATTTTGATCACCGAAACGAGAGAGTACACGACCGGGAAATGTCTCATGCAGTAATTGAATTGTTTCACGGGCTGTATGACATGTGGCACCGTCTTGTTGAAACCACATATTGGGTACATCAATATCATTCAATTTTGGCAGAAAGAACTGTGTAATCATGTCGCGATATCGAGCACCAGTAACAGTCACTGCTTGACCAGCATCATTTTCAAAAAAATATGGCCCAATTATGCCTCCAGCCCAAAATCCACACCAGACAGTCACGCGTTGTGGGTGCATTTCTTTTTCGACAATCACACGTGGGTTCTCCGAACCCCAAATGCGGCAATTTTGGCGATTGACAAAGCCATCAAGATGAAAATGTGCTTCATCGCTTAGGATGATTTTGCTTGAAAAATCAGGGTCCATTTGTTGATGTTCAATAATCCATTCAACAAACTCTCTTCTCTCTGCATGGTCATTAAGCTTCAATTGTTGTGTTAATTGAAGTTTGTAAGCATGAAGACACAGATCTTTGGTGAGTATACGCTGTAGAGAGGTTCTTGACATTTGCAATTCTTGTCCACGACGTCGAATTGAGGTTCCTGGATTGTCCGCAACACTCTCACGCACTGCTTCGATATTCACATTTGAACGGCTTGTTTTTGGACGACCAGTGTGTTTGGCGTCTCCAACGGATCCAGTCTCCATGAATTTTTCAATTAATCTCTTCACAGTTGACGAAGTTAAAACACTATTCCGGCCATATTTTGTATGAAATTTTCGAACTGCAGCCGCCAAGCTTTCACTATTTTTGAAATATTCTTTAATAATGAAGACACGTTGTTCTATCGTGTAACGCTCCATTTTTCATAACCCTATACTGTTAGCTGTCCAATTGCTTTTTTTCAGGGTTGCCAACACTTCACTGCACAAATGGCGGCAAATTCAAATCTTGCGTTAATTTTGGGACACCCTTTATAACGAAAACTCACAGGAGAGCTTTTTTATGTTGAAAAGTGCGAAGAATCAGTACTTTTGTTCAAAAAGCAAAAAATTGCACTAAGAAAATTTTTTCGGTCATTTTACAGGTACAGTAGAGAGCGCCCTCTAGCGGCTACAGTAAAACTATGCCCATGGTTCGTTTTGTCGTACCAAAAACCCTTGTATACCAATTTTCACTGTTATACATCAAATATTGTTCGAAATATTAAAAAAAACTATTTTAGAAAGTAAATTTAAACACCCTGTATTTCGGAAGCCACGCATTTTTCGACCCATGTTTATATAGACTTTATGCATTAATTTTAAAAGTTCTATCGAATCTTAAAGTTATGCAACAATAAACTGAAACACCCTGTATATGTACTCTCAATGTGTTTACTTGGCTGGTTTATAGACACATATACTTACAGACACAGCTATTGTTTTATAGACACCGTATCTACATATATGTATACATTCACTTTTTTCCAACGACTTCAGTATCAACTAGCCCGGAAGCCAAAGCCAAAACATGTTGGTTGGCTATTGAAGATAAACTCTGAAACAAGAGTTTTTGGTTTGTTTCTGTTTTACATACAAACTCAGTTTAGTGGAACACTTTCTTTAGTAGATCAAACAAGAAAATGTTTATTCGTAATTATGGCGAATGTGCATATTTAGCAAGAATACGCATTCACCACTTTTATTGCAAATAGCTTTCTCGTCTAATCTACTACAGTGGACCTCCGGTAATCCGACAAACATTATGCAGGGCAGTGTCGGACTATCGAATTTGTCGGATTATAGAGCACTGCCTAAGACCCCCTATAGTCCGGAATTTCTTACAAAAGAGTACCTTGTAATCCGACAAATTACATATCCAATGGTAAGATTATATATGTTATATATGTGTATGTACTTTGAAGTACAAATTATACATAGTTTATGTATGTCGAATTTAGTAAATTAAATAACAATAGAGAGCTTACGTTTTATTATAAAATTAAGCATAAATTCACATACATATGTACCAAAATAATCAAGAATTATTAATCAAAATCATTAATGAATTTATCAAATTATGAAGCTTGGAAATATATATATATATATATATCAATTTTTTTGTTTAAGGTTGTTATAACGCGAGGTCCGAGCTTTGTCCCTCAGTCTTCTCAAAAGTAGAAGTTCGTTTTAGGATTTACCATTCTCTTCAGCCCATTGTAAACCTAGCTCAAAGGCGTTAATTGCGTCTTGTGCTGTGACTTGTGGAGCAGTTGCAATCACGTCGTCGTTATTTTCCTGATTGTTTGTTGTATAATTAGAAATCTCTTTTATAATCTCTTCGTCAGACATTTCATGAAAAACATTTTCCTCTTTATCCATTCCACGGCACCAGATTTCCAAATCTTCCGGACTTATCTGTGTTTCAGTAGCGACTTGTTCTATAACTTCCGAAGTAACACTGATTTGTGGAACGTTGCTAGGAGTGGTGACTATATCTGGCCATAACTTTTTCCAAGACGATTTAATAGTTGATGACGGTAACGCATTCCACGACTCACAAAGAGCAAAAACCAAGTCTTTCATATTAAATTCTTTTAAAGTTTTTTCTATTGGTTGGTCTTTTGATACGGCTCTCAGAAGTCGGTTTTTCTTATAGTCTTGCTTGACAAACTGAATGATATTCTGGTCCATTGGTTGAATCAGTGCAGTGCAATTTGGCGGAAGAAAAATCGCAGTGATGCATTTATCCTCAGTTGTTAGTTCTTCTTCAGACGGATGACCGGGAGCGTTATCAAGAAGCAACAACGCTTTTTGAGGAAAATTATGATCTTTTAACCATTTTCTAACTTCAGGTACGAAGCATTCATCAAACCACTTTTTGAAAAGGTCTTTTGTCATCCATGCACTTTGTTGTCCGTAATACTGTACAGGTAAATCAATGTTTTTGAATGCCCGTGGTTTATTAGATTTCCCAATGACCATCATCTTAAGCGCGTGTGTGCCCGCAGCGTTAGCACATAGTCTTTACTTACTTTTCGTCCAGGTACGGATTTTTCGTTACAAGAAACGAAAGTTTTGTTAGGCAACACACGCCAAAAAAGCCCTGATTCGTCTGCATTGTACATCTGTGACGGGTCAAGATTTATATCGTTCACCTTTTGCAAAAATCTTAATTTAAAGGGCTCTATGCAGGTGGCATCGCTAGAAAGTTTCTCTCCTATGATAGTCGTTAAACGTAAGCCATGACGACTTTCAAAACGTTCTAGCCATCCTTTGCTTTCCACAAAAACATCTTTTTTTATTATTTCCTTATACAAAAACTTAGCTTTCATGGCCAACATGGGTCCTGGAATTTGTGCATGCCTATTTCTTTCCTGAAGAAACCACATGTACAAAGCTTTTTCCACTTCTGGATGTTCAGCTTTCTTGAGTGTCTGTCTCTTGCCTGGCCCGCAATCAGTAGTCGACACGATCTTCTTGATCTTCTCGTGGTTTCTTTTAATGTCATAAACTGTAGATCGGCCTACGCCGTATTCACTTGCTAAACTACTGAAAGTTTCATTGTGATTTAAGCGGTCTAAAATATCACATTTTTCTTTAATTGTCAATGTTTTGTGCTTTCGGTTCTGAGTTTGTGATGACATTACTAGGTACTATACTTAATACACAATGAATAAATAGTAAACAATGAACGCACGCTAGGCCGTACCGCTATCACAAGTAGTCAAATTCAAACTAAGTAAAACAATGCTTACGCGTCGAGCACGATAGCGATGGCGTGTAAGTTGTAACCTGTTCAAACCTGCGTGATCTACATGAGCGAAGATTGTCAAATACGTATGTATGTAATACATATTCAAAGACATGTCGGATTACAGGGGGCGCCGGATTAGACAGGGGCCGGATTATCGGGCGTCCACTGTAATGTTATCAGATAAGTTTTCGAATCAATTTTTAACATAAATCATTGCTTTTGTTCGTCCGACCACAGGCCATAGAGATACAGTTCCAGCATATAGCTTGGCACTTATTTCGATTAACCTCATACTCTGGATAGTAAATAGTTGCTCAGCATTTGTTCATTGTCCAAGCCTAGACTATGCTGAGAAGTTGCTCAATAGCACGAAACAGCTGTATGACTAGTTTGTTCAATGGTGACAGTGAGAAATGGGACACAGTTCCAACAGCGAGCTTGCTGTTTTCACTCTCGCAGTGGTCGATTCTGGTAATAGATGGCAATTTGTGCTGTCTTATTTCGACAAATCATGAGACTGGCTGGCAGTAACCCGATACAAATTTGTTCAAGCGATACCAAAAATAGTTTTTTCGGTCTGGACAAAGTTTTCTTAGACGGAATACATAAATCAATAGCTGAAGAAACTACCGGAAAGAAATTAAAGATGCTAACGCCATCTATGAGACCGTAGCAAAACCAGACTCCTCTAGTATATTTCTCAATTTATGTTTGTGTTCCGCTACTGTTTAATACATGGCACAAGTATGGTTGGATATCTTAATGAATGGCAAAACTCAGGAATTGCCTTTGAACTCTAAATATACGTGACGCCTATGCCTGAGCACTACAGCTTCTGCAGTGAAAAGATCTTACTCGCGCCTGGAGGCTGTTTAACTGAGAGAAAAAACGTTCTTTGCATGCAGTCGGTACTTCACAGATGACTTAGAACCTTGGTTTGCATGAATTTTTTCTTAGGTAAGACACACGGTAGGGTAGTTCACCTAGTCCTCAGCTTTGTAGATTCTCTGTGAGTTTCGCTTTTAGTACCTTACTTGCACTTGGAGGATACGGATACATTTCTGTGACGATGACGCTTATACGTATACAGACCGAATAAAAATGGCAATGTTTCTAGAGCACAAAGCAAAGGTAGATCGGTGGGGGTATTATCTACGTATCTTGAAAAGTGACATTATGTCGTTTGTCTCTTTCTTGACATGATGACATATCCACCATCAATATAAAGACAAGTTTGGTGTACAACTGTAGGGATATTACGTAACTTGAAAAGTGACGTTATGTCGGTTTTGTTGATATTATACAGGCTTTTTGTGTCATTATGTTTTTCTACGAAATGTCAACTGAGCACTAGCTGTTGCTCACTTCATGTGCACTCTTTCTGTAGCTGTACGTGTTGCCTAAACATCATGACACTTTCAACCAAGAGCAAATGTCCTACGGACCGCTCTGACAGACAATGACGAATAGATCATGACGGTTCAGCTGTTATAAAGGGTGGGCCATCCGTTGAATTCTTTTTTGGATTGATATTAAAACTACACTCTTCAATAAAATGTAACACTCGATACTTCATTAAAAAGAATACACCTTCCGATTACTTATGAAAAACAATTTTAGTTAAATGGCTGCCGCGGCCTGGCAGTAGTCCATCCTCTTAACCCAATTTTGAAGCACTTTTTCGATAGTTTGTGGGTCTATTTCATCAATAGCTCGACTGATATTTTTCTTAAGGACATCAATTGTTTGAGGATCGTTAGTGTAACAGCGGTCCTTAACCCCATAGGAAGTACTCCATGTGCGTCAAATCACAGCTGCGGACTGGCTGATAACCGAACTTAAGGATCCCCCAAACCGACGCGAATATTTCGCAGCGATGTTGGTTAAGGCTTGTGATAGATCTGGATCTTCGTCTAGAAGGTGTAAATACTGTTCGTCACATTGCTTACTCCGCCAAAGCAAGATATAGAATTGCTTCTTCTTCATCTGAAGAGTACATGTTTCAATTTGATTTTCAAGCTACACTCTCACACCGTTTACTGCCAATCCACTGCGATCTTTTCGCTTCGATACGAAAGTCCCTCAGATGTTCGCAGCGAATTTCGCGAGAATTATATCGCCACAAATATCGCAGCGGATTAATCGCGTTGGTTTGGGGGATCCTTTAGTGTGTAATAGATCGACTGTTTCACGGCTGATGTGCCATGTTGCGCCATCCTGCTGGAACCAGAGATTGTGCAAGTATACTTTATCTGAAGTCACTTGAAACACTGTGAAATACCGGATGCGCCAAATTTCCCCCGTATAAGATCAAAGGCAGTTTCACCGGTCCACGTGGAGTAAAGCACGCCTATGCGTGGACATAGCCAATGAGAAAGCGTGTATTTCAGAGCTCCGAACAAGTGCAGGTGGCTACTGAAAATTGAAACAGTTTAGCCAGTGCCGTGTAGCGGTGAATAAACGTGTTTTCTTTAGTCTGTCCGTGTTTTTTCATAGATTTTATTAGTTTGCGTGTTTTTCACTTTTGAATACTCAGTTTACTTGGTGATTTAATTGTTGTGTTGATTGTTCTTGGTGTCCTAAATATGGCTCTTTGGAGACCTTGGGAAAATGCTCCTGCTCCAAGCCACGAGGAGATGGTTGATGAACCTGTGCAGGCAGAATTCTTTCATAAAGATTTAGAGGAACAGACCCAAAGAGTAATCCTAAATATGTATGATTGTCTGAAAAACGAAAATCCAGATTCCTCGCAAAATCAAATTTTAAACAGAATTTGTATCCTGACAAAAATCAGTCGGTCTACCATTTATCGGGTTATAAAAAGGGGAGATGTAGTCAACCATTCCTTCCACAGAAAGCGCATAGTGCAAAAATTAAAAAGAATAGACGTGGGTTTTCAGGAAGATATTCGTCGTATAATATACGGATTTTATAAAGAAAATTTGGTGCCCACGTTGGAAATGATACGGGATAAATTAAAAGATTATCCTGAAGATTTTTATAATTACAAATGCTTAGACTCACTGCACTGTATTGTAAAACTGTGTGGTTTTCAATACAAAAAATTAGATAAAAGAATGGTGATTATGGAGTCGTCTCGAATCGTTGAATTGCTCCAAGAATTTTTGCACAAAGTTAAAATCTATAGAGAGCAGAAAAGAAATCTGATTTACCTGGATGAAACGTGGTATGATACCCATGATGTTGTGCAGTACGGCTGGATTGACGACAGCAACAAGTGCGTTTTAAATGCACCATGCAACCGTGGAAAACGAATCATTATTCTCCATGCTGGCAGTGAAAATGGATTTATACCTAATGCCTTGCTGTTATCTGCCAAAAATATCAAAGAATCATGTGCCGACTATCATGAGGACATGACCTCCGACTTATTTGAAAAGTGGATAGAGCAGCAGTTAATACCAAACATTTCCCCAAATTCAGTGATTATTATGGACAATGCGCCATACCATTCCCGACTGAAAAACAAAATTCCGAATACAGGCACAAAAAACAAGACATTATTGATTTTATGAAGGATAAGGGAATGGAAATACCACAAAAATCAACCAAAGCCATAGTATTGGATCTTATTAAAAGACAAAAATTTGAAAAAGAGTATGTTGTTGACAATCTGCTTCAGCAAAATGGCCATGAAGTATTACGTCTACCTCCCTATTACTGCATTTTTAACCCGATTGAGTTGGTCTGGGCTGCTTTAAAAAAAAAGTAAGAAAACATAATCAGACCCCTCAATTAAGTGAATCGCTATTGGCCACAATAAGAGATGCACTATCTCATATTGCTGCCACAGACCTATGGAAGCAGTGTTCTAGGCATATTATTGAAAAAGAAAATGAATATTGTGTTTTGCCTCCTGTAAATCCCGTTGTAATTCCTCTACAAGATGTCTCTAGCGACAGCTCCGAAGGCGAGGATGATATATAAATACCTATAATGTAAGTTTATATACCTTTTTATATACCTACCTGCTATGTAAATATTTGCCTATGTCAAACGTTGGAATTCTGGAATTTTTCCATTTCTTAACTTTCAGTCAACATAAATTAAACTCCCAATATAAGTATTTTTTATCCCAAATCAAAAAAATAAGAAGATAGTAAAATCCATTTATTGTGATATAAAAACATTATTATTATCGTTCTAAATAAATAACCGCACGCCTATGATACGTCATGAAATTACAAAGGACGCGCCGACCAAAGGTTTTTATGCTATTTCAAGTGACTTCAGATAAAGTATACATGTCGTCTAATAGTGGCCACAAAAACTCCTCGACATGTCTCTATAGCGTTCCCCGTTTATCGACACGCTGTTACCATCTTCATCTTGAAAAAGGTAGAGACCAATAAACCCACCACTCCAAAAGCCACACCAAACAGTTACTCTTTTTGGATGCATTCGTTTTTCTATGACGACATGTGGATTCTCAGAACCCCAAATCCTACAGTTCTGCTTGTAAACGTAAGATCCCAGATGGAAATGGGCTTCGTCCGAAAAGATGATTTGGCGACCAAAATTTACGTCCGTTTCCAATTGATTTAGAGCCCACACAGAGAAACGATATCGAAGCGGATGGTCATTTTGTTTCAACTCTTGCACAAGTTGCACCTTGTAAGGAAATAACCTCAGGTCGTTATGCAATATTCTCCGCACAGTAGTGCGCCAGATGCCCACTTGTTGTGCTCTGTGACAAGTTGACATTCTTGCTTTCGGCTGTACGTACGACTCGAATACGTTCATACCTTCTGTTATACACAAGCACGACGGTTTCACGAATTTTCGTATACCAGTCGCGAACGGAATTCATTCCGACCAAATAGTCGCAAAGCTTCTGCAACACAGCACTCACTTTAGAAATAGTTTTTCCCACCTTTGTTTAAGATTAAAACGACCCATTGCTCACCGCGGAAGTTTGACACAATATGTCTGTCAATATGTTGAGCATGGAAGTCTTACCAACTGTCAAAATAATACCATCTTAAAAAAAACAACTGATGGCCCACCCTTTAGTTGTAGTCACCGTTCTTGGAGGACTACCAGTATCCCTTTGTATATCTCCATCTCCCCCATACATACGAGGGGGTACCCAAAAAAGCTATCTCTCAATACACTTACTATATAACACCTTGGGAAAAACCATTATTATACATTATGATGAGGAAGAGAGATGGAAATATACAAAAGTATGTAGGTGCGTGAAAGACACTCGATTGTAGGATCCTATCGGCAGCGTCGCAGTGTGACGGACAACGGGGTAAAGTAGAAGAGTGATAAACGAGAGAGATGGTAGAACGGGCGCTGGCGCCTACCGCTTAGACAGATGCGCTCAACAAATGCGGTTTGTTTCTCCCATTCGCAGAGTTGCCGATACCAATATGTCATATTTCTAAGAAATCTAAGTCTACCCAAATTTCGGGAAAAATAGCTGCGGATTCCACATAAGAGTATTCAAAAAATGAAAAAAGTTCAAACTATTAAAATTGTATTAATGTTTCATGGTTCAAATCATATTTTTCGTGTTTGTATATTGTTGTATAAATGATTTTGTAATCCCTATTCTTGTTGCCAGTAGAGATACAACAGTATTGAGAGAAATCATGGACCGCTAGATAGGGCTACAACTACCATATGACTATCAAATAGTAGTGATAAACAGGGTTTTTTTATAGCACAGTTGCCTGGTGTGGCGAATTTGTGCCATAGGGGCGATTTGACAACTTTGAAGGACAACTATATCGGTTACTATGGTGCCCGGTATTCGGGAATCTGGCAATACCTGATGATTCCTAACGTTTATTACGCCAGATTGTTTGCTGACTTGCGCAGTACAACATGACAATCAAAGTGACTGAGCACCTGGTAACCCTGGTTTAAGGTGTTATATTTAAAGAGCTTGGGGAAGTTAGGTATCTAGGTGACATTTTTTAATGTAT